GGTCCTGCCTTCTGGCAATGCTTTACGCCTGGTCCAGGGCCTGTCTGAGGGCCTGGTCAGGGGGTGTGGAGGCCTCCGAGGAGGAACGACTGGGGTTTCTACGCCTTTTTCATCACATGGGCGAACGTTGCAAAAGCTTTTGGTCACTGAGACCGGCAGGCAATGACTCCCAGGTTCTCTCTTCAGGGCGGTTGCTAAAGCAGCCAAGCGCTGCGCTGGGACAAGAGCTGGTTATTAACTTGTGTCCGTGGAGGTTTCCAGCTCAGTTGACCAGAGCTAATCCAGGATAAGCACTACATAAGATCCTGAAGAGGCAAAGTTTTTGCTTATCAGGCAAAATAGCTTGGAAAGATGACCCCACTTACTTTGGGGTTATCATCTGGCTGATAATTGGACTTGCCTCTCTGTTGGGGGTGGGAGCGTCAGTTGGGGGCAATCTGAACGTTTCGGTGAATATCTAGTAACCAGAGAAATGGGAAATAAGAGACTCACAACAGTCATGTCATGCTTCTCACTTTGAGAAGAAGCACATCTTTGCAGAGAAGCTGGAGGATGCTAAAATCACTTTTTTGCTTTTGATGTTCGTGTTTGATATTGAAGCTTTCCCTGATACCAGACAGATGAAATTTTCCTCTTTTTTTTTTTTTTTTTTTTCCTTTTTTCTTTTCAGACCCCTGAGATTTCTAGGTGTGTGTGCCTCTTTCCAGCTTCGCTACTTTGTATGTCCTGTTTGGTATGGCAGTATCAGGTGCTTGCTTTGGTTAAAACTTTGCCCAGAGAATGAAAGCATCACTGATTGCATCAGCCTTTTTCTGCTATTGATTCATAAAGCTGTGAGCAGTGGCCTTGGAGCAAGCTGCCATAAGGTGGGTGGGAGGACAGTAGTATCTCAGCTACCGTTATGAATTCAGCTTTGTACAGGAAGGCTTTCATGTGGCTCTGCTAAATAAAAGCTTAGTGTTCATATAATCATGTTTCCTCCTCTTACAAGTTCACCAAGAAAATCAACTTCTCTTGTTAGAGGCAAGTAAGCAAATGGATTTTTCAAGGCCTGGCATGTGGATTATATTAGATTCTGGAAACTAGCCGATACTTCGCTCTGACAAGTTTGGACTATTGTGTGATTCCTAGGGCACTAGGAAGATTAAAAGATCTTATCTTCTGCTTTGTTTTTCAACTTGGTTTGGTGTGTTACCCACCCCCCACCCATGCTATTAAGGGCATTTAATTAAAAAGTTTGCCAACATGAAATACATGTTTTACTATGAGAGGTTGAGATAGGGAAGCTGAAAAACACAGACTTGTTGAATGAATGAATCACCATGACAACACAACTAAAATGTTGCTTTTCTTCTCTGGTTTCAGACAACCATTCCCAAATCTCTTCCTAGGTAAGAGTGAGTTTGTCCTGGGCCACTGTTTTCATCATTAAGAAATCCCTTGTTGTCAAGTCTGCTGGTACTGATCTGGGGCTGAAGAGCTGGGGAATAGGGAGTTAATAATTGTACCTGCATCTTTGTACCATTCCTGAGTTAGGGCCTGCTTCCCTGAAACACATCTTAAAGGTGGGAAAGATTCTCTTTCACAAAGGGACTGGAAATAACACACACTACTGCTGTTCGTTGGCATGATCTGCTTACAGTTTCTGTGAGATTAAAAAGATGAGCCTTGTGACAGAAGTAGCTCCAAGAAAACCGCGTGACTGAGCTGTGCTTGTGCCAGAACTTATCAATGTCTTAGCCTGGAGGTCTCTCTTTAAGCTACTTGCAGAGCTATAAAATTAATGTAGCAGGCTTTGTCCTAGAGTAGATGAGGAACATGCTCATGAAACGGCATCTTCTGGCTCAGCTCTGATAGTAATGCTCAGCAAAGCATGTGGGAAGCAGCACAGACATATTTTTCTAGTGAACATTTGACACTAGGATTATTGCAATAACTATGCAGAGCCTCGAAATACAGAGTTTGGGTTTGATCAAGCCTGGACAATGCCCTACAATCCACGTGCCTGGAAACATGCGTTTTGTGCTTAGGCATTTTTAAATTCTAGGTCACAGAATCTTAGAATAACTCAGACTAAAAGAGACCTCTGTATGTTATCTAGCCCAACCTCCTGCTCAAAGCAAAGCTAACTTCAAAGTTAAATCAAATAGCTCAATTCAAAATTCAGCTGACTTCTAAAAATCTCTAAGGATAGAGCCACGACAACCCTGTTGGATACCCTGTTACACTGCCTAATGACTCTCATTATTATCACTCTGTTATAATCATGAGGAGCATCCTCACAGGTGGCTCAGTCACAGGTGGCCACTTAGATCTATATTTTGGTTAGTATATCCTCAGGTGAATATGTCACTCTCAGAGCAGATGAGGTCACTCAAAAAAAAAAAAAGTAAGTAAAATAAGAAAAGTTAGATACTACAAGAAAATAATTATCATTTGGAACCATGTAATTTTTAACTTACTCAAAATTCTAATTTGTGCTAGGCTTTGTGCTGAAACATGTTTTAAGGAGTGAGTTCCTGTTCCAAAGAGTTTTCCATCTAATGAGACTCAGGCAGACCCAGCTTCTTTTCCTGCTTGGCAATTAGTTCCATCGCATGCTGAGATTTGCAGAGGAGCTAGGAACTCCCCTTAGCTCTCCTCAATTTCCAGTGGGATGCTTTTCATCACATGGTCATCCTTCTGCCCAGAAGGGATGGGGACAAAGGTCCCACCTTTCTTATTTTCTGCTCTCAGCACTAGCTCAAGTCTTAGGATTTATTTTCTCAAATGAAGAAACATATGCCTTTCTTAGGTACAGACTCAAGTCCTTGAACAGATGGAAAAAAATTAAACTCTTCTGCTGTCTCATCAGGAGACTGCCTGCAAATTATCTAATCTCATGTAGCTTTAAAGAATGTTTTTCATTAACAATACATTTTCTATGTTAAAGCATACCAAGACCACTAGTTTATTCCATAGTGCCCTGAAGAACTGTCAGGTAAATTGGACTAATAACCAGGAAGGGAACGGCTTGTTTTTATTTCAGCAGTCCCTCTTACTATCAGCCCTAATTTACCTGACTTTATGCTGATGACTAAGCATTCTTCATAATTTAATAACTGCAATATTGATCTAGACAGCTTTTAAAGAAAAAAAGCCACCCTGCCTAATTATGTTAACTGGTGAGCCCTGAGGGGTCTTGCGGGTATGTAACATGCAATTAAATACTACCTAATTAAGAATTTCCCTCATGTTGTGATAGTCTCTTGAGTAAACTCTATTTGCATGTCTCCATTCTTATCCAAGAACATCTTGTATTTTACTGATTAGCAGTTTCTGCCTGGTCTCCGTGGTACAATTTGGGAGAAGGGAAAGTGTGTGGGGGGGGGTGGTAGTGAAGCATTTTGTAGGCTTTCATGAACAATTAAAAAAAATAATTAATAAACATCTGTTTAAACAGTGTTTGAAGTTACAACAAAGTCTAGGCTAGGCTCCGCAGGGTGAATGCTCTGCAGATGTGCTAGGGTACTGCAGTGAAGCAAGAGCTCTGTCTTACCAGAAGACACCTACACTGTGGTTTCTTGGCAGAGCAGTATGAGCCACAGCAGATAGGTCACTCCTGTTGACAGCTTCATTGGTTATTAACTTTCTTCTTGAGCAACTAGTTTTGTACTAAGTTAGAGCATGGATAGATGTTTTAAGTCAGTGAATGTAGCAGGGTGTCAGTAGATCTTAATTTTTTTTTAGTGTCTTTTTAGTGCCTATCTGTGTACAGCTTTCCTGTGTCCACTGAGTAATTTAGCCTTTTGCTACTTACTCATTTCCCAATTTTCTTTTTTTTTTTTTTGTAGGAATATATGTGGGGGAGTGTGCTTCAGAGAGGTTTTGGTGGCGTTTTTTGTTTGTTTTTTTTAATACCGAGGTCAGTATAAATGCCAGTTGGAGCCTTTCTCACACCTAGAAAAAACGGAAGTGTGCCTGTTTCCCATGGATCCTCTGATACGTCCAGGCTTCAGGCATTCTTTTATGAGGCTGCTAATAGAGCCTGTCTTCTGTATTCTTGTTTTCACAGAGGTTTAGAGAGAGAATATGAGTGATCTCCCCTTGTTGAGAGTGGCCAGCAGGCTCAAAAGCAAGTGAGCACACGGATATATGTATAGAAAAAGACTGAAGTGGTATATTCTTGTTTCCATTTGCTGTCTTAATAAACATGTAGAGTATATCTCCTTGGTTACAGAAATGTCAAGTGCTGGTGAGGAGAATCGTTGTGTCACTTGTTACAGTAAGATGCTTTCTTCTTGGATTTGTCCCCTTGAGCACAAGGATCAGGATCATTAAGGACATTTGCAAAGTACAGAATCTGTGACAGCATTATCTTATTGCTGCTTAGGGCACTGCTGGCAGTTGGGCCCTGGTGGCATCGCTGGGAACAAGAAGAGCTGTGTACTATGGCAGGATCAGGTTCTTGGCTTCCTAGAATATACCTTCAGGTCTGTTAATCTTGCAGTGGGCTTGAACCACTGCTCTGAACAGACTGGAAGGAGGTAAAAGGAAGATTTACTGTAGACTGGAGTGAAATTGCTGGGAGCTGCAGGCATGACCTTCCATGGACTTCTTGGTGATGAGATGCCAGATTGGTCATGTATAAACTGTGCTAGCATAGCGTGAATCAGATTGTCCATCTTTCTGTACAAACTCTTCTGGAGTTCCAAAAATCAATAACCCATTTAGAAAAGACTAAGTGGGCCCTGAATCAACTGTTGACAGAGATGACAACAATAATGAATGACTACAGTGTAGCACCACAGGAAATACTCAGCAACAGAAGCAGAGAAAAATGGGTTTGTGTCTTCACTGTCCCAGTTGCGATGCCAGCCTTCTGCACTGGTTCATGGGTCCAGGGCACTCTTCCACCTGTCCCTCGGAAACAAGATGGTGTCATTTCATGTTGATGCTTCCACAGTTCTCCCAACTTGCTGACCTTTCTTCCTCTGTTTTTTTTTTTTTTTCATAGGCCATCATTCTGGTACACTGGCTGCTCACGGTGTGGTGAGTTATTGGTAACTGGCCTGGCCTGGGTGAGAAGAGGATATGGGGGGTTGGACTAGATGACCTCTAGGGGTCCCTTCTGACCCAAAACTTTCTATGATTCCTTCAAACTGGGAATGAGATATTATTGGGGATTCAGCACACCCTGTTTGTGCCTGTTTGCGTGCAAGAAGATCCTAAATCTAAGAGTGAGATGTTCTTATGGGAACAGGGATGAATGCAAACAAACTGTTGCAGGCTTGTTGTGTATGTAGGCTGGGTTTTTTTGTCTTGTTTGGCAGGGGATCCATGAATTACGTGTTTCCAGCCTCCTATGTCTGGGGAAATTTCAGTGTCCTTGCAGTGGGGATCTGGGCCATTGTGCAGCGAGATTCCCTTGATGCCATCATGATGGTGAGTGTGAGGGTAATTTGCCTCCACCAGGCTGCTCAGGGAGAGGGTGGAGGGCAGAGACAGCTGCTTTGACTCAGTGATGATTTTCAGCTGTTCCCAATACAGCAGTGAACAAGTCCAACTCCCTGTTGGTGTTGTTTTGTTTTTTTTAAGAGAGTATATAGATCCATAAACACTGTAAACCATGGTGAGAAGCATTGACTGTCACTTATCTTGCTTCTCGGAGGTGAGGCATACTTGATTCTTACTTTTTTTTACCTGCTGTTGTGACTTGTCATGCCAGGGGAGGACTCAAAGCGTTTAATATGGTTGATTTGGAGGGGCTTTATAAAACCCTTCTCTGAACATTAAAGAGGTATCACAAGAAGGTGTCTGACAGATGTGAAGAAAATGCACGAAAACCAAGATCATTCATTTAGGAATCTCTGTCTACCTGGGGCAGTGTCAAGGGCTAGCAATGTGTGATACTGGGGTGAAGGCATGATTGTGTGAACACAGATCTTGCAGGAAATAGATGCTGTAACTGTTAATCCTTGTGGTTAATCCCCTATTCAGTTCATGTCCCATTCTCTCTTTGTTTGCAGTTCCTGACTGGCCTGCTGCTCACAGTCCTCGCAGACATCATTCACATCTCTGTCTTCTACCCTACACACAAATCTCTCACTGATGTGATGCGTTTCAGTATAGGCATGGCCATCTTCAGCCTCCTCCTCAAACCTGTGTCCTGCTATTTGGTGTATCGAATGTATCGGGAGCGTGGAGGAGAGTACATCTTTAACATAGGTAGGATGCTTCCTCTGCCTCCACGTCAGTGTGGGCCACCTCCTCTATTGTTAGGGAGACTGCCTTGGACCTTTCAGCCTGAGCTCTATGCAGCTGGATTCTGCCTGCCTTTCCAGCGAGAGGGGGGTGCTTGCTCTCTCTTGCTTATGGTTGTTCTCCCATTTTGTCTTAGGCCTTAAATTTACATTTTTCCTCTCTTCCCTTTCAGACCTGGAGTCCTCGTCTGACTGCCATTTTGCCTACAGTGGTATTGATACCACTGCTGTCTCTCTTATACTGAATAAGAGAGAGGCTTTTGTTCTCTTCCTTCTCCTGCATTTGTGTGTGCTTGTTGTAAGCCTTTGGGTGTCCTTCTCTCTTTGCCAACCCTTTCTTTTCCTTCTGGGGGAAAGTAGAGGCAACATCTCCTCTAGTGAGATTATGTGTGAGAGTGGAAGAAGCTGGATTTCTAACTCCATGCTTTCTCGGGGCCTCATGTGTCTTAGCCACCTGGATTGCTTTGGACCTCCATTTCCTCACCTGGAAAATGGGACTGATAATTACCTCATGGGACTTTGCCTGGAAGCACACATTTTTCTCTTGGTTGTACTTGCTAATGATAATGTGGCAGCCTTGCCAGAAAGAAGGGGCTGTGGCTGGATGTTCTGGGTCTCAGTCAGCTTTGCCAAGCATGCCTGGTGCTAGTTTATGCCGGGGCAGCTGCCAGGGATTGTTTGCTATGTGGGAGTTCACCCTGGCAAAACCAGCAGCATGGCACAGTTATCTTTTTGCCTTCCTAAGAAGACTGTGCAGGACAAAGGATGTTACAAATGCATTACAGTGTTTGAAAGCTGTCGCTTATGCTGCTTTGGTGCTAGCAAAGAAGGTAGCGCTTCCTGTGAAAAGATGTGGATACCTGCAGAGAGGCCATGGAAGGAAACCATGGCTTGGGGCAACAGGTGCTATTTGCATCTCTCTGCTAGTGGAATGTGGATGCCTTTCCCATCAGCTCCTTGTGCAAATGGCTGACAGATCAGTCTTAACCGGGTCAGAAGGCCTGTGAGTCAACTGCAGTGCCTTGCTGTGGGTCGTGTTTGTGCCAATTTTCATTAGCTGCTTGCTGTGCTTGTAGCTGGGATTTGACATTTGTATCCCATGGAAAGCGTAGGTATCATTGAGGAGTTCATCCCTTTGCTTGGAATTTGGGAGCATTCCTTTTTTGCAGACACACACAGTAATGATACTATCTGAGAGTCTCCTCTCGGGCGCAGGTGGGAATTTAGCCAATTTGTAGTTTTGTATCCTCTCCTGAACTGTCTTTCTCACAAGATTTTTCAGTATAGTTTTTCAGTTATTTTGCGTCTGTTGGAAGGATGAGTTTTCTTACCTTCTGTGAGGATCACAGAACACAGGTGCTGGGGAGCTGGTAGAGCAGCTAATGTGGTGTGCTCCTGAGCTGTTGGTTTCTTCTAGTGGATTCAGTTCTTGTGCTTTTGTTTTTTTTTCCCCAAGCTTGTTCTCTCCCCTCTCCATTTAGGTGTCACCTGTGCAGGCCAGGATCGCAGCACCTATGAGCCAATTGATCAGCAGGATGCCCCTCCACAGTGGCCTGACTCAAGCAAGACAGCCCAGCAGCCGTACTGAGGCCCTCTCTGCGACAGAGAACAGATGCTTCCCTCACCCAGTCCAGCCTTCTGCTCTTCCCACGTCCGTTCTGATGGAGCAAGACCTGCTACTGAGCAAACAGGAGAGGATCTGATTTTTCATTTCTTTTGCCTCCCTGAAGGTTAGGCAGATGGGTTCCTGCAGTAAGTCCAGAAGACCTCAGAGACGTCATGTTAAGCACTGTGACTCGTAACCCCAGTACTCTCCTTTACCTCCCTCCTCCTAATTCCTGCCTCTGTATGTGTAAGTGGATGCACCTTCTGCAGTTTTCCAGGTCTTGTATTGTGGATCCTCTCTACTGTAACGGAAGCACTCAAAATATTCCTTGGACAAGCTGTCTTTAGAAGGCTTATGAACTGCTCTTAAACAGTACAGTTTAGCCTGCTTTTATACAGATACATTTCCAGGAAACATCTGGGAGTTCCTGAGGGCTGTTTTTGATGGTGGTGTTTAACTAAGATTTATGACCATAACTCCCTATGCTAGCTGTGGTGGTTTCCACAGAGCTGGGGTTGGTATAAAATGCTCTTACTGGGCTGGGGAGCTGTTTGTGCTCCCAGTATCTAGTCTTGGGTTTTATGCACTGATGCTTTTATGCAAGTTTAATGTCCTTCAGGATACTTAAAATGGCTGTTGACTGTAGGTTATGGATATTCTGTGCCTTGAAATGTCCTTTTGCCTTCAGCTGCCTATCTTAACAGAACTTGAAATGTTACATTTTTGTAAGAAAACTATAAAACGAACACAGTTTTTCTGTGTTACAAAAAGTTACACTGGTCACCTATGTCTCATTTGAAAATTTAGGTACTCCTAAGGGTTTGGGACTGTAGCCAGGCAGTCTGGGGGATTCATTACAGGGGAAGGTCTACAGGGTTTTGATGGCTTTTAGTCTAAGCTTTACTCACACAAGTAGAGGGTACTGCTTGTAAATGTGTGGGTGGGAAGGTGGGCTAGTAAAATAAGGATTGGGGAAAGGAAAAGATGGGTTTATTTGCACTGCAGTGGTGAGCTCTGTGGGATGTGACAAACCTAAAGTCTAATCTTGTGCACAATGAATCTGCCCTGCTGTGGCTTTCAGGTAAATTCCTAAAAAAAATGTTCAACAGTATTCTTTTTCAGAAGGAAAAGAGTATGTCAGCTTTGGCACAATGAAAGTACTAGTGCTAGGAAAATCTGTGGTTTTCTGAAGCAGGTTCATTTTCAAAGTTTACATATGTTATTCTACAATTGCATTTCTCTTGACAAGGCCTGCTGCTGCACCGATTCTTCAATGACCAAGAGCCCTGTTAACTTTGCTCCAACCTCTAGAACCATGGCGTTTGTGTTTTTAAAACCAAGCAATTTTCTCCCAAGTTTAATCACCTTAAACATAAGCAGATGCTTCCTCCACTGTGCTGCACAAGCACTACAGTGACCTCCTGCTGTACCTGGACCACCATTTATGCTTGGACCAAGCACATGGTAAATGCCATTAAAATGCAATAGTCTGTCTCACTCTTCCAAGATCACAGAATCACAGAATAGTAGGGGTTGGAAGGGACCTCTGTGGGTCATCTAGTCCAACCCTCCTGCCGAAGCAGGAGATGAGTGCTGTGCATTCATTTTGCAAGGTGCCATGCAGTAAGGCATAGGAATAGAAATCAGTCTGCTCTTGTGATCAGATGGAGAAGACGAATAGGTAGGCAGAATGTTCTAGGGCTTGTGGAATTACAGAGCAGGTATTTATATTCAGTTAATGTTTTTTGCAGCTATTCAGAGCTGTACAGTGACAGCACTGATCCCTCAATAATGCATTTAAATGCTTAGGTTTTTTCTTCCCTAGACCTGTGAAGCAACTGACTGAAAGCAACTGTTTTAAATGCAATGCTGTTTGGGTATTTGCACAGAGTTACATCTAGTGAGGCCTTCCCAGCCATTTTCCATTGCGAGAGACTCCACAAAATCTACTGATACCCATCTAGCTGACCTGCCGTGCGCTTTTCTGTGGAGAATGCAGCACATCTGTGAGCTCAGGGGAGCAGAGCAGAGTGGGAGCGACGCTAGGCTCACTGTGCCTCACGGATACCGATTCTGGGCAGTAAATCACAGAGGCGATGATAAAAACAAGGCCTCTCTCCTGTCTTCTGAGGACTTCTGGCAGTGCTTACAGTAAGCACCGGCGCGCTTTTGGATCAGTACCTGGTTTCGCAGGGCGCGTGGGGATTCATCGAGCCTGCTGTGCTGGAGCACGGCCTTGCTGATCCGGCCAGCCTGGCTTCACCACGGGGCTCCTCACGGCTTCTCAGCGGGGTCTCCTCAGCCAGACGTGCAGCAGGCGCGACACCGCTCAGGTTTTATTCCTTCGTTGTTTTTTTTTTTTTAAATCCTCGGGTTCCTTGTGTCCCCCCGGGTTTTTTTTTGGTGGTAGGTCTGTTGGG